GGTCTGGAAAATTCGCCTGGACCACTCATCCTGAAGAATCGGGTTGCTATAGGGGTGACTCGAAGACATTCTCTCTCGGAATGTGATTCAACAGCAGTCAGATTAATGTGAATATGATTGGTTGTGTGTAACCAATAGCCATATTAAACTGCAATCTTTAATTGTGTATATAGGTGTTCCCAACCCGTTGAGCTGCCAACAAGTGGGGTTAGGTTTAGGTACATGCGATAGGCGTTCCCCGCCTACCGGCAGTATAGGCGAATCGGGGAGAAACAATTTAAAATATGCTAGCAATATTTATCCGAGTGTCGCTAACATTCATTCTTCAGAACATAACGGGCGTTCCCGGCCCGGAAAGGCGCCGATTTGCCCGGGGATAGGGCTTGCGCGTAAGTTGGCCTGAGTAGTGTCTTCGGGCATTTGCGCAGGTAACGGGAGTTCCCGGACCCACCGTGCGCCCTCTCTCTCTTAACAGGGGGGAATTTCATCGGGTTGACCATTGGCAACATGCATGAAATCCTTTCACTTAGTTTGAATGTTATTGAGTACATTATAAGGGGAAATCTCTCAGGTGTTTGTGGTTACTCGCCGAAGCTTATCTATGTGTCACGTTCATACTGCATTCATACAACTTCTTCGACATTATGTTCATCTCCATTGGCAGTGTAATCATTTTTTTTTCTCGCTGGTGTTAGTGGAATAACTCGATAACATTTTAAAATTTCCTCAGATTAAACAATTTATCCGATTCAGTGAATAATTTAACCAGATGTGAAGTATATCACTTGTGCCTTCAAAAGACCGACCATGATCGAGTGCATAACTCCCAGCTTGAGGTTAATCTAGGTATATGCAGTTCAGCGCAAGTATGGAAGCTTGACTTCTTTCCAGGCTGGTGGCACAAGGTCTTCCCTAGCTCAGAGAAGGCAAAATTACAGTCTCAGTCTCAGAATAATTTACTTATGAAGAATCAGTGTTGAATCAAGATCCTGAGAGTTCCGTAAAGCTTTACCATCACGAGCACTCAGATGATGGCTTTGAGATTTGGATGCTAAAGACCATACAGTGGAATTTTCTCTTAATTCATTAGTAATCGAGGCGGCAGAATTTGTAGGTGAATTTGAAAAAGTGTTTCATTTCTGTTTGAATCTGATACAGCTTAAAATTCAATTTGACTTCACTTTGATTGGTATTCGAAGCAACTTGACTCGAGATTTAGCTTTGAATTCGCCATCACTGAACGACTTGATTTAATGTAAATTTCGTTGCCTTTATCCTCGTTATAGATTGATTGGCCTGATTCTGAGTTACTGTTATTGTTATGACAGTTAGTTTTGAACATTACTATAATTTCGTACTGATCATGAAATGATGTCCAAATAAGTTCGAGATGATAAGAACCTGAATTGATTCTGATTCAGCTTGAGCTTGATTGGACTTGAAGTTAACTCAATATGAGTCGATTTAGTAGACATGAAGTAAATTAATGTTGGAAATAGGTAACTCAAGCAATATTTGTTTGATTGTCCCCTTGCTGTTGTTGATGTAATTCCTTCGCGTTGTTGTTTATGTGATTGTTTCATGCGGTCATCACCGTGTTTATCCCCTCGTTGATCAGTATCGTGTTTTTGATGCTGTCACGCCAGGCATAATGGAGGGAAACATTGCTAGGCATATTTTGGTGGCATTCCATAAGCGAGTAGAATCGCAAAGTGCATAGGGACCCCGCACAAACCAACCGGGTACAATTCTACGTCACATGCTAGGGTCAGGCTCAAGTTTGTTGCTCTTGCCTGAAGGTAACCTCACAACTCTGCTGAAATTAGGATAAATTTGAAAATACCAATGATGCGTGGCGTGACAGCTGTATAAATGTTTTTCCATATGTTATCACACATTACACCGAAATCGCTTGAAAGGATCAACAAGCTGTTAGTATCTTCGGTTTCAGAGAGTTTAGGAATGTCATGACAGCGAATATCGTAGTTTTGTGCCAGTAAGTTTGAAGGAATTCAGCTCCTATCTATATTCTGACCCTATCACGGTTGTTTGCATTGCAGTTAGGAATGAAAAACTTGAAATTTGAAGGCTTCCCAACATATCGATATGAGAAGCAATTTTCAAAATGTATTAATGCAAAACACTGTTAGCGATACAGCAAAGTATAACTGAAGTGAGTAATCGTTTATTGAGGAACATCTCATGGAAAGATATCATAGTGAAACAAATCTCGAGGAGTGAATTTGATTCTTTCAAAAAAAANAAAAAAAACGTGACGATATGACTAATGATAAGAGAAACAAACGGAAAGTCTCGAGTAAGGTGATATATTCTCTTGAAGTTAAAACAGTTCATGAAAGACAACTCTTCAGTTATCATTTAATACAGTATTAATGGAAAAGCAATGGATCGAGTAGAGAGAGCATTTATCATGTGATATTTGTCATGTGCGAGTGTTTGTCAGTAAGCTTGAACGATGCGATCAGTAAGCTTGAATGAGCATTGTTGTTTGAAGATTAGTGATGTGCATAGAAAATGCTGACGTTTTTGATTCCTGCTTAGTTTTTTCTTTAGTGTAGAGTATGTAACTTTGAAAACAACATTTTTGCGAATGCAAATAGTTTTCGGAATTGCTCATTGCCAGAGGTATGTGATTCCGGCAACATTTCGCGCATCTACACATCGCTGACGTTTGTATTCGGTCTTTCGTCGCTCCAGGGTCATCCATTCTGTATTGGCTATCGGTCGCAATTATGTGCGACTCGCAAGTGGTTTAGATGAAATTGAAATGAAAACAAGCAGGTTGTTGTGAAGCATCGTCATCAGCATCAATACTGAAAGTAAGAGTCACTTGTACGGGGATTCAGTTTACTGGCATTATTTTCTGCCACATCAGTGAGTTTATCACGCCACGAAAATGGACAAAATAAACCTGCGGTAGAACAGTAGTTAGTATCATTTATTAATGCTCATAACTGAGAACAACGACAATAATGTAATACCACCACAACTCTTTCCGCTTACCAACACTACTCACAATGAGCACAAATGAACACGTTCAAACCATCAAACAGAACAAATCAGACATATTTCATGTCGCGCACACAATGTCACTTTCTTTTAATGACAACAACTATCTGCTATGTTCTCATTTCAGCTGCTGAAGTCGTGCCTATCACTGAAGCGAAGTCCAATTATAAGTTTCCTAACCCTCGCTGTGAGAGTAATCCCGTCAAAGCTTTTGATTTTGCGATCTTTCCATCGCTCGATGTTTACATATGAATATTTGATTACATCATGATGGGGCTAACCCGTATTGCCGTGCACTCACTGCGTTCCGTAAGGTATTCATTCACAACACACACATCAAAAAAGAATCAGTTGATGATATAAGTTATAATTCAAATACACTAATAGATTTAAGAAGATAATAGAGACGATAGAATAGATAATATCACACGCAGCAGACTAATGGATTAGTTCAATAAATGAGATAATACTAGCAGTGAGTGTGAAGAACAAACAGCTAGGCCGCATTTGAGAATATGTCGTAACCAGAAGCACAAAAAGTGATAACAGTAGGTGAACTGAAAACGATTCACTCGTTGCACAAATCATGCTCATTACTCGATCTAATCTAAACAATGGACAACACATACAAACTGAACGAGATCGAAATAAGACAGGAATCGAAAACGAAAGACAAAACAGATAAAGTGAATAAATGAGTACTGTTTGCATTAACATCACAAAAGTTGTGCGAATACACTCACAATCATCAAGTACGTAATGAGACTGGCTGGCCCTAAATAACCATTCCTCTGTACAATACAAACGAAATTCTTAAAATAAATCAATCTATTCAACGGGATCGCATTGATGACAACAGTTGCGCATCCACTGACCATGGAATGAGACTTTTGAAAAACGTATCCGGAAACTATGAGCATAAAATTTTGTTGAGCGCACCTATCGTTCCATTTCTAATAATGCTTTCCATTCATCCTTTCAGTCTTAAACATTATTCACTATAACTGATCACAGCACCCTCAAGTTCGCTAATTCAGTATTTTGAGGTGTAAGATGGATAGCAGATTTATAAATTAATAAAGGGAATGAATCCAATCAAAACAAGTATCAATCACATACGGGAGGCAGCAAGGCAGCAGCTACTGAACTACACCATTCAGGAGAAATTTGTTCTGTACAATATCACTATATGTGATTATTCTCAAGTGCATTCACCTCACCGAAAATTTGTGAATTTTGTCATTTTTACAATCAGTGCACAATTCGATTCAAAAATAGTGTAAGTAGCTATTAGGAGGATTACCTATTAGAACAATCACAATAACAACTCCAGTGAATTCATGAATATTGCTCTGAAATCGTTCACCCGCTATTCCATTCAGGCTTCTTTTTGCCTCAAATAACAGACACACACATACAATTCTTGTGAACAACATTGACATTTAAAATTTGTCACACTAATATGAGCACATCAATGTATCACTTAAAAGAATGACGTATCGCAGTATACTATTTTCACAGTGACTATATGAGATGGACGACTGTTAACTGTTAACTCGTTCACTTGCTGATGCACTTCACTTCATTCAGTGATCATGGCCGGATGAAGAATGCCGACAACGCAAACATTATGAACACAACACCGCCAATAATTGTCACTGAAACGTTCGTTCATTAATATTTTTATCAACAACTCACTGAATACGTCAAAATAATCAATTTAAAATGTTCTCAAAGATACTTTAAATTGAAAAATTCATCGATCAAAAAGTAATGATCAATTAAGCTTGAGGTCAGGTTTGCTCCATCCATTCTTTGAGCTGTTAGAATTTCTTTGCAAACAACATTATATTCTGCGATTTCAAAGGTTGCTTGCGATTTTTATTAATCGCTCATAAAACGCACAAAATATCAAACACCATAGCTGATCGGTGATATAAAAGTTTCCTACTAACTAACACCACTAACAATTACATTAAAACGAAAACGGATGCGTAAATTTCGAAAGATAAAAACACTCCACGATAGCAGTAATATTGATAATTTAACACTAGACGGAAATAAACGAGAAACGAACCGGTTCGAACGGAAATCTGAGTGGCAACGAGTTTCCCTCCGATCACAGCAATACCGGTGCATAGAGCATGACCCATGACGCCGCCTAGCACAACGCCATAAACATTCTCACGTGCTGCCAGTATAATTGTGGTCAGTTGACTTCGATCGCCCCATTCTGCCAGAAATGTTAACGTAAATGCTTCCAAGAAGAGTGTTGACACAAACCGCACAACAGCATACGTCGAACTGAAATTTGCCTCAATCGTATGGAATCATTTGACCAACTAAGAATAGCTTTCTCAGAATTAAAACAAAATAAAAACAATGCATTGACAACATTCTATGGCTTACTTCGAAACAACCAAAACGTTCTCATTAATAAGTGAAAACACTCACAAGTTGCTAATTAATTGCAGAAGAAGAAGGAAATTCGTGTAATTTCCTGGTGACAAGATAAAACTATACGTGCAAGGAAATGCAAAAATGAGATATTAGAACGTCAACCAAACGAATAATGATTGCCACTAAAGATGATGAAACAAAAAGTTTACTTCTGATTTTGTGATTTCGATCCACTCTCGAGATCAGCCAATTGATCGTTCTCTCGAAGCAACTGCTTCTTCTGCACCTCAGCCTGTGCCTCTTCATACTCGTCTTGTCCATCATTCGGTGACATATGATAACCTTCATGAAGCATTTTCAAACCGAATAGTGCGAATAGCGCAGTTGATATATAAAACGTCAACGCTCGTGGTATCACTTGTGTTGCCCATCCGAGACCAGCTGAAGAAATAAAATTTAGACTGGACATTCGAAACTGAAACAACAAGAACGTTTCAAATTCAATTCATCAGAGAACACTCATTCGATCACTGCACTCAAAAATTCCACAATCTCGCGATGATCAAAACCGAATCAATGCAATCACAATCGAATTTGTGAATGAGAAGATGAATCAATTCACAGATAAACGAGTGAATATAAAGATGACCAACCAGAAAGTGCGGTCATTAAGGCAAGTGCAGCCATGGCACCGAAGAAGACTGTCAGTCTCGAATGCCGCATCGCCATGATTGCAGCAATGAACCACGTCTTGTCACCTAACTCCGAAACAATTATCACCGAAAACGACGCCAATACTGCGTGGTAGAATGACACATCCTTCAATTCACATAACCATTTCTATTATTATGAATATTTCTGCCAATGCACATCATTGATATGGACACGACTCAGTGATCTACTATCATTTGAACCAGTCATCTGGAGATTGAAAATGATGATAAACTGGCAGGACCTGGACTTTATTCGTAATGAAACACTAAGATAACCTATCTGTGCACTCTGAAGTAAATACTTTAAAAGACAATTTCCATCAAACAAAACGATTCCTCTTATCATTGACGAAAGAAAAAACAACACAAAAAACCAACTGCAGTTTCATTTTTCCTTGCCTTCGCAACAGTTTCATCGACAATTTTCGATAAATCCTCATTTTTTTCACGAACTTTCCGGGAGTCAATCTCATGTTCGATCAGTTCATTTGAGGATCCAATCAGTTTCTGAACTAATTTGTAGCAATTGGACAATTGCTTTGAAAATTAATTCAATAAATCAAGTGAATGTAACGTTCTACCATTATGATATGAAAGATGTAACAAATAAGTAGGAATTATGAACAGAAACAGAGATGAAGGACAAACCTTTTTCATTTTATTATCACTTCGATCAAGTTCAGCTGATCGATTTTCAGAATCGGCACATACAACAACACAAAACACATAAAAAATAGCAAATAACGTAATTAAAGGCGATCGAATTGAAGTTATTTTCATCCTTATTCGTATTATTATTATTATTGTATTGAGGAACAATAATAAATGCAAGTGATCGTTGTGACCGAGTCGACTTCGGTCAAAATAAAACGGTTTTCTGAATGAAGGAAGTCGTCCACTGTCAACTACCCTTCTGAAATAGATTATTTACGATTAGAATAACTGAAAATGAAACAAACATTTTTGTACAACATTTCCGCAACACATTTCAAAATTTACATGCCGAATAAAAACAAATAATAAGACTGAATAAACAGTATAATGCTTTGAACCTTGCGAAAATAGCACTATCAACACAACAAGCAATACGCCGCATATTCAGAACGATCATGATCTCATGATCTTTCGGCGAGGGGGGGGAAGGGGGGACAGCCACGATTCGGTATCAATATCGCTGAAAATAAAGTCAATCGCATCACAGTTCCTACTAATATACTCGCACTGCGGGTGGTAGAACTACTACTCACACAGTTGGAATAATACAACCACGATTCGGTATAACTGAACCAATGGATTCAAGGCATGATGAAGGATTTTAAAATAATAAGAAACGGAAAGAGATACGACTGCTATACCCTTACTGAAAACATTATGTAAAAATATAACAGATGAAGAACCACGTCAGAAAAACCAGATGATCGTATCAACGTCGTAATCGAAAGTGACGTGGTTGTATCACAGCAAATGGCTGACACTGGGTCGACAACCTATAAAATGCACCCGATGGCATCTGTCACCAGTTTCAGCAACCTCATTTGTGGATGTCTAACAAGGAAAGGTCATCCCGAAGGGCGGGGGTAAATTTGTGTGATCTTTGCTCGTAAGTGAAATCTAAAACTTATAAATCGACACTAAGCACAATCCAAGAGAGAGAGGCCAAAACTCACTGAATACTTCTGCAGTGTCTCTGGTGCGTTTTATAGGCGCTTCTTGAGTTGACTCATCGTGAAGGAATGAAGGAATATACACTACAAACATCAACGTACAAACACTGCTTGAAAGAAAGCAAACACGCTTAAATGCATCATAATACACATGTCATGAAGATTGCTTGCGAAATGGTTGTGGTGTATTTAGTTTACTGAAAAAGTTCCCGATTTCGGCATGATTCATTTTATGTAATTAATAATCGTCAATATATGGTGCATAATATCAGGCCTTTCATTGCCATTTGCTAATCAAAATAGTATTAACTCACCTTTTTTGTAACAACTTGATTAGGTTGCGATCGGCGTTGTTATCATAAGAATAAGAAGCATGACATGTCCTAATTCCTCTTATAAAATATCGGTTGAAATTGGCAGCGATTTGGCTTCGAACGAAGGTGGAATAGACCGAGCGAACGTGCGCCGTATATTGTCGTCGGTTAACATTCGAAGCATCTATCTATCAATCTCGGTGCATCTACCACAAGATGGCTGTCGATGAAGATTTCCTCTTTCAAAATCTTCAGTGTAGTGCGATCTGTTTGGCTAGACTCGACAAGGTAACAATTCCCGTGTTTTTGTCCGTCTGAAGCCACCTCTGTATGAATGTTTCGCTGAGTGAATGATCACACGGAGACTACTGAAACTTTTCCACAAGGACGTTCAATTCTTGTATTTATTGGTACAGTGCAGATGCATACCAATCACCCATACAGTCTGAAGATAATCCTTGGATTGACTTTATCTAATGATATCATTGATAATGTAACGGTTTTTGAGTATAAGTTCGAAATTTTGTCTGCAAATGAGACATGAAAAAGGCAATTTATTTATTGATACAATTCGGTTAATAGCTGATCTGCAAAGGATAGTTTCGAAATTGTATAATCTTTCCGTCTTCATAACTTCCATCTTATTGGAGAAGAGGTGAGCTGAAATACTTTGATAGTACTCTGTCAAAGTGTTTCAGTTTATCTCTTCGATAAGACGGAGAAGTCGATTACAAATCACATATTCATTATAGGCCACGTTGGATCAAGTCAAAAAGCGATTGTTAGAGAGTGTGAATGGTGCTGGGCTTGAAAAGATACCGCTGAATCATTTGGTGAGATGCAGACTTCTGGCCACTGGAATTTATTTGCTGTACGCGAATGGAAAGGTTGTGCTCTTCATTCCAATGGCGATCTTTTATCATTTGTGCATTGTCGAGAAATATAAAACATTTATGAAATATAACTTCCAGTTGTTTTCGAATGTTTTGCAAAGTGTCTTCAACTCCTGGTTATGAAATCTTCAAATATGCAAGTAATAGCATTCTTATGGGATGCTTGAATTGAATATTTTTTGAGATAGCTTCTAAAACTAGCACACTATCCAAATTGCAGTATCTGGAAGAGTTACTGCCGATCTTGCTCAAAGCGTTTGTTTTATTATCCGAACTGAAATGGGTCGACGATGGAGTGGCCAACAAAACAGATCGTTAGTTTAAAAAAGATATTTGAATTTGTTTATAAATCTGGCCGATTTGAATAATTTTGTTCCAGTTGAAAATCACCTCTGTACGGTGGTCATTTAACAAAAACAAATCATGTCATGTCAATGTTACAAATGAATCCTTCATATATATCAAAGCACTTCAATCGAACAACTATTCACTGAATCAATCGTCTTGAATTTGCCCACAATCAATCGTCATTTAAGGAGTGCCAATTCAAGAGCAGTTCGCGTTCTGTTTCAATACGATTCTCAGTGAGCTAGCTGCACGATATCCGTCAGTTCGCGATCGCATTGTCTCAGTTCAACTCGAAGTGTTCGCGTGTATCACCGATACGATTGTTGAGATCTGTGAAAAGAAACAGCCACTTTTACCATCTAAAGGTGAATGAGCTCTTTCTAGCGCATCTCTCCATTGATTGTTCATTCTGGCATATGGTCGGTTGACTCTGATCAGTTCACAGTGAAGAAATATATTTTTAACAGCCAAAAAATTGAATGCTGACATGATCTTTACTTCATGCACACAAAGAACTGTATTTAAGTGTGCAGATGTCCTACGGAAAGCTAATATAATAACAGTGCTGCAAATGCTATTAAATCTCATAATTCAGTACATCTGATGAAGATGATCGCATTTTTGATTGGCCTGATGCGTTCATTTGCGAGATATAACGCCGATAAAGAATCGCCACTCATATCAAAGATATATCCAATACCATTCCGTCTCACCAAACGAAACGATTTGGCGTCTGCTGCTGATGGTGATGCAAATAATGATGGTATTAAAGCACAACCGTTATCAAAGAGGTTTTTGATTTTCATTTTCATTAATATAATTGTGTCATATTGCTTAACTACTATGCAAAGCTTTAAATTCAAAAATTATCAACAATTTGATTTTTTTTGGGGATTTTCATCGGAATATTGGAATTTTATTGGATTTTTTTGGAATTTCAGCACAAAACGTTTCATTGGAATAATATTTTGGTGGTGGTATTATAATATTAAAGCGCTTCCATTCACATCACTTACAGAAGTAATTCGATTCGGTTGACAACGGATTCTGAAAACTGGTTTTGGAATGATGATCGATTGATCGTGGAGAAGGGTGACACCACAAATGATCGCTATCGAAAACTGTTCTCGAAGCATGGAAGTAGCTTTTTGAATGCGACCACTCCCATTCGGGACGGTGAAGATGTGGCGTTCATGTTGAATCCGAAAGAGTTGGATGCCTTATCGGATACGGTGCGTGAATTAATTTCTCTCTTTGATTTATACGAACTCGAAATTTTCGATTCACCGATCTTTTTTGCGTGTGTGTGAATTAGCGTATGAATAAGCGCAAAACTTGAAACTTGTATGATTTTCGAAAAAAAAAACCAACAAAATGGAACCTTCTGCATGTATGTATGCAAAACAAGCAGCAAACGTTATGAACGCGTCTTGAATGCTGCTTTAGATGTTGACTTGAATTGAATTGCAGATTCAACGTCTGTTAAGAAAACCGATTCTGTCAGTGATGGACATACATGCCACGGATGTTTTCATGGTTTGTTGTTGTCGTCGTCATATGAGTTAGCATCAACAAATCTTTTGCTCATTTATCGTGTGGTTGTTTGCTTTCATGTTTTATCTATTCATTTGTTGATGTTAAACATTGAAACTTGATGAAAAGCAATATTTTTCGTTGCATACTTTAAAATTTTATGCATATTATAATTTGGTTGCCAAATCAGTGTCACCGAGTGCTAAATTGCTGAAAGTTGAGAATCACGAATGAAAATGGCGAATTTGGACAAGAGATTCGTGTGAATTTGTTGATGTTTCACCAATTTAACGTATTCAAGGCGGGCAGTATCAAACGATTCCCGTACAAAACGATCTCAGAATGTTTATTGCTGGTTTGTGTGGCATTGCTCAGGGATGTTGTACAGCCCTACAATATGCTCGATTCAAAACGAGCGCTCTCAGAGAAATTCGCGAAAGAGGTGACTTATCTTGACTTATCTATCTTTTCAGCCAATACTCATTTAGTGGTCTCGTTGGTGGATTAATCTTGCGATCTGTTTCATCAGTTATTAGACTCTACTGAGCATTCGCAAGAATTGTCATCGAGGAAAATGATATTTTGTATTAAAATTGATGTATGATTTGAGATGAACGCGTTCGTGACCGAGTTGCTGAAACGTGCTCAAGAAGAGTTGAACGCACAGAAGACAAGCGATGACGAGAAGAAGAACCGAATGTCGGCGGGTCAGAGTGAAATGGTGATTAATCGAACGAAGATGTTGGTTGTGGCCAACTCGATTTGTTTGCAGTTGATCGTTTGGGCTGCACTCGATGAGTTCGGTTCGCTCCCTTATTCTCTTATTATGTTCACCTATTGTGGTTGTATTTGTCACTTGCAGTAATTGCCTGCTATACAGTATGCCTGATTCATCGGATCTTATTTCTGTCGTCGTAGTTACGATACTTATAGTTGGAATTAGACATGAGGCGATATTCTAAAAAATATTCTTGGCTATCGGAAGAATTCGTTTTGTGGTGAATGTTTGTTAGGAGTAATGATTGAACAGTACAACTGCAAATGCAATTGAATGTGATGACTCACGGAATGTGTTTGTTGATTGGAAATTCAGATGCGGAAATGTTGAGTTCAACGATTGCTGAACGAATCTGGCTGCATCACGGCCATCGTCACGTTCTGACGCATATGCCGTTGAGTATGATGGCACTCGAGTCGCTGGGCAGTGTCGCTGTCAAGTTCCCAACGATAGCCACAACGATAATCGTTCCAGCGCTGATTCGCTTCCTTCTCGAACCCTCACCGGTTCTGTCGAAACTGGCCACTGAGAGCACGGTGAGATGAGTTTCGCGTTTGATTCTTTGCAGTGACGTTCGATTTGTTGTTGGTGTGCTTTCATCAATTTCATGTCACGATCGGTTGTTTATCGAACAGAGGAAATAGTGAAATAAGTTGCGAATAACACAGAGAAATATTCAAAACGTTCATGATTGAATGCAGGAGGGATCAAGAAAATTTGATATCAGTATCAACAAAAATATCTTTATCAATTATACGGGTGGAAGTTTTATAGAATTGCGCGATTTCAAAGATTTAAAATGAATTGAATAAAAATATCGCTTGAATTAGATGAAGTGAAGAGCGGAACACTGAACTGAACTAATCAAAGAATTGAAGGTCGGAGATCGACGTAATGCGATTGAAACGGACCGTCGGGAAGACGATCTGGCCGCGCGTCGTAAGCAAGCGCTCGAAAGTCTCCGCTCGGCTGCTATCCAGTCGATGTGTAGGTGTGTGTGTTCTTGACTGCATAAAATTGATCATTTTCATTTTACCAATTTCATTTCACCAATCCAATCTAACTGCAATTTCCCTTTCCCTCTCTCACGTTTCACTTAATTCAGCAAAATTGTTTTCGATTTGTAACACAACTCTCATCAACGCATCGCATCGCATTTCTAAGCATTGCCGACCTAATTGTAAGGAACTTCAACAGTTCATCGATTGTGAATTCGTGTGAAATATTGTCGAAATGTAAATAAGAAGTTGATCAACACAATAAATACCATTGAAGGGCACTTCGTTCTGCGATGACCGTCGACAAACTGTGCGTTCAAGCGTGTCTCACAACAGTTTCTACGAAACTTTTCCTTTGTTCGAATCCAGATTCCACTTAGTTTGTTTTTTTTGTCGCCTATTTTGATTAATTTTTTAAAGTTAATTTCTTAACTGAATTAATATATAGCAGAAAGGGCGATAAAATTGTGTTCAGTTGAAATTGATTCAGTTGAATTTGCAGTGGATCGTCATTGGTACTGGAAAATGCAATAATGATATTGGGTGGTATTGGCGTTGGCCTGGTCGATGTGCCGAACGTTCAACAACTCGTTTTTAATGTAATATTTTTTCAGCAATCCCATCTCACTGATATTGTTTTTTTCATCAATTGATAGTTTTTTGTGAAGATTTTGATCATTTTCATTTCATGTTTTTGTTATTTATTTAGAGTTGTCGGTTTGTTTTGGTCTGTTCGCTTCAGTTGATTAATCGAATTGATCGCTTTTAAGATATTCGCACAACGATTCTCAAAACCAACCACATCGCTTGATGGTCAGATAATTAACGCATTAGCCAATATGTGGATTGCTGGAGCGGTAGGCTTGAATTTTGTTTAGATTTTCGACTTTTTTTTCGCCCCACAAACTTGTTGTTGTTGTTAACGAAGACTGTTGACTTTGGCTCATTAAAATTGTGAAAATGTTGACAAAATGATAACGAACTCGAAGAATTGTTTGAATATTCTTGCTTCTGATCGTTCAGATTTTCTTCGTAATCGACCTCTGTATAGATGGTATAATGCACAGATTTGGTGAGTGAATGCTTTTGATGAAATTGAATTTAAGCGAGATATCTACGAGTTGATTTGGTTGTTGTTCACAAAGATTACGGTCGAATCGAGCAATCGAGCGTATTCCTCTACGGAAACATCGACCGGTGGTGAGCATCGATATGCGTATGTGTGCAGTTCGATTGTTCTCGTTCTTTTGTGCACTTTTGGTGTTTCGTGACTCATATACTCAGTTCGAGATTAACAATTCAGAAAGGTAATTCAAAACGGTTTATATTATTGACAAAATGCGCAGTTAGCGATAATACGTGGATGTTCGACGTTTCGGTATTACCTCTAACTGCGCAGGTAATGTATCTTGTCAGTAATATACACCGTTTCGAATCATCTATTGCCACAGTGCGCCTTATGGACGAGGAAAGGTTGCAGCAGTTTCAGAAAGGATCACAATCACAAATTGTCATTCGAAAGACTGTTTAAATGCAAATTGATTGTCACTGTCGACAAATAAGTAGCACATTTACTGGATGAGGTAGTGCGTTATGTATGAGTAGTAGTGGTTTTGTTGTAGACACGTCTCGTTGGCAGTGGATACGGCATTAGCACGAATGGCTGAAAACGTGAGCAATGAAGAGGATAAGATGACGCTGCTCTACCGATTGCTGGAGTTGTTCGTGCAACTCGGTCTCGAGGGTAAGAAGGCTGCTGAACGAATGGCAAAAGCGACACTTAAGGTTTTAGCGTTTTCGTTGTTATTCGCATGAAAAACATCATTTTTTATCTTTACTCGCCATAAATTATTTTATTTTTGTTGAGCATTCTCAATATCAATTGTTGTAATCCATCTGCTCGAATCCTCATTCAATATCTCGTATGTTTTCTCTTCGTAGTCAAATTTTGAGAGAGTTAAAAAAAGGAAGGCAATCACAGTTTTAAATGTACCGTGACTGCTAAAGATCCCCTTAATTGTGTCAAAAATTTAAACTTGAATCGGTGTTTTGCTTGTTTGCAGATGTCGAATGTGGCGGGTAATCTCGGTGTGCTAATACCAAAAATCGCAGCGTTGTTGCGTCGAATGGGTACCATTAGCAGTCCGCCAATGAAGCTGAGGAATTTGTTCCGTGATTTTTGGCTGTATTGCACTCTGAATGGATTCGACGTTGCTGATTCGGGTATCGAAATTGTCATTTCGAAATTTATTTGCCCCACTCAAAATCGAAGCTATCATCCAGCCACATATATTCGTTCTTCAAAATAGGAATGTGTGAAATTTGAAGTGTGTTCAAATCAGTTTTTGCGACATAACAGATTGTGAGCAGCATTAGGTTTGGATAGGCGAATGCAAAACGATAATTGAAGGTTTATGGCCTGGAGAGTGGTACGAGGCAGTGTGCGTGGTTGCAAGTAAGTCACCGGTTCTGATCCCACACGAGAGTCTTCGCGCTGAACTGGTCGCAAATGCTGCGATTAAGAATGACGCTGTCACTGTGGTCAGTTGATCGTACAATTTACTTTTTTCTTTTTTGTTTAACGCTCAAAAAATTTTTTCGATTCGTTTGAATTGGAAGACATATAATGTTGATTAGTTGATGGAAGTCGTTAGATATTGTGCCACAAAAAGTGGAATATTCTCTTTGAGGACTGATTGAAATTCTTGCCACTTAAATCAATTTAGTTGTGTTGATTGATAACAAGCAACTTTTTGGAATGTTCGGTTTTTTTCTTTTCAATAGCATATTAAATGATCATTCAGTCATATCCTCGTTGATATGTATAACTTTTAAGTGTCGAATCGGAATAAATTCATTTCGAACCCCTCAGCATGTCTCATATCATATTATTCTTATTCAATCTGAAATGATGAATGCTAATATGTCATACTTTTATGCGAACATCATCGCTTAATATGTTAAAAATTGATTATATCTTCTGGATCTGTATTATGTTTTCTGGTTGTTTTATTGTTCTTCTTGCAACTGACATCAGTTCCATCATATCCGTAAAGTATTGAAGTTGGAACTGCAAGAGATTCGCAATACGATTCTGTCGGAGATGCAGCCGTCTGCTGATGTGATAGCGCTGGTGAATAAGATGGACTTCGCGCAGTGCATCTATTTGCTGTCCGTGTTTCGAATGGAACGTATGCGCGTTGTACACTCCACACAACCCGAAGCCGTTCATTCTATTTTTATATACCTTGAAAATGGGTGAGTTGTGCAGTTGTGAATTGTTGTTTTTAACGCATATCATTAACGCAGTTCGTTGTTCACTGCGTTTTAAGACCCCTAGCGGGAGTTGTGCATACAGTAGTAATATGTGTGATTCGATGAAGTGATTGGATGGATTCCCGATAGGCGATTGCTCTTCGTCTCGAGAAATGCTGCTCACTCTAATCAAACACTAATTGAACGATTCATCTCATCTGGAACGTTCAAATTTGAGAACGTTTGCAGATTGATTCGAAAAGATAAAAGCGCCATGTGGACATGTCTTCTGTCGGCTGCAACGCTCATATTTTTCGAGTATTTGAAGCGAGCGAAGAATTTGAGTTTGGATAAAGCGTTGGAGAAAGGACTCGAATATCATGCGCAGTTCTTATTGGTCATGTTCAATCATAATCTCAGAGAGGTATGTGCTGATTTTGCAAGTTGGAGTGTTGAGATTCGGTTCTCTTGTTTATTTTGGAAAGAGTGTTCTCATTGTGTTGTTTGCAGATTAGACGTTGTGCAGATACGTGTCTGAGCAGACTTGTGGACACATTCCCGCATTTACTGTGGAACGGACGAGTGCTGAGTACGGCACTGGAGTTACTTGAGGCACTGTCGAATAACATCGACAATGATATTGAATGCATCAACACAACACTCGTCATACCCTCGCTTGAGTGGACAATACAGTTGCAGGTAATTTGTGATTGCTGCAATGTGATATATTCTAAAAGTTGATTTTTTGATGCTAATTGTTCATACCGTTGATTTAATCGAATTGATATTATTCGATAATGTTTGAATTGATATTGATATTATTCGATTGTGTAGTTCCAAAGTGTTGCTTTCTTTCATTTGATGTGTTAGAGAGTGAGAACAACTCAATGATGTGTTTGTGAATTCATTTTTTAAAGGATTCGTTAGATCAACGCAAGCTGTTGGTTCAAGACTTTACACAGCGGTGCAAACAGATTCTGCAAGAGGCCATCCGCTGGGCACCGGGCAGTACGAGAAGTCACTTAGTGGTGTGTGCATTTTTGTAGAGATGATTTCATTTTTCGTGATCTTAATGCTGCTCCTCGAAATGATGATCGTTATGGAGTGGTCTGTAAAGATACCACTTCCCTCATAAACTCCACTGAATCCATTGATAATCGAGTGATGTTGAGTGTATGACATGCTTGATTTTATACGATATATTTGTTCATTTCAGGAATACGTATCCAATTCAGTCTCAACAAGCAATAATAGCTTTCGTCTGACCATTGAGGCGGTTCTAAGGGACAGCGAATGTTGTGGTGATTCGGTTGTTGAAAGTGATTCGTCGTCGAATCCTGGAGCATCAATCTATCTGACATCGTTGCATTTGCGATCACTGTATTTGGGACAGGTTGGTGCTTGGTTGATTGTTAGCAGTGTTAGTGGTTGATCAACGAATGATACTTCGATTCGAAAGCGATTTTGTGATTATGCGACGAAAATTTTTTTTCATTCTTGAATGAACAAACAAAAACAATTCATTTTAGTTTAATTCAAATTAGTATCGTTATCAAGTAGTTATAATTGTTGATTCATTATCATTTCTGTGTCGACTTGAAGGTAAAAGGAATGCTGGCAATGTGTAAACGAAAAGACGGTGTAGGAGCTGGATTTCAACTGATTGAAAGTCTGGAGTGCGATTTGGATAGAGCGTGTGAGACGGGTTGTGATGAGGAAATGACTGATGCCGTCATGAAATTATCCGCACTGTTCATTATTCTGAAAGGTATAATATTATCTATTGCATTCCAATTATTGGAACACATTATTATGGTTGACTTTGTTGTTGTTAGTATTTTCGATATCACTGATGAATAATATTCATTTCACATAAACAAATACTAATTTCTTTCCTTGTTACTTGTTCTTTATTTTTAATGATTTCAGTGCCAGTTTAATGATTCCAAAATTTGGATGTTAAGTGAAGTGAACGAGTTTCGTTTTGCTTTAAAATGAAAAATATTTGCTTTATTTAGGGATTATAATGATTTAGACGTGATAATTGTAATGAGTTCGTAAAGTGAATGAAAATACAGAGCTGAATCTTCGATTGCTGCATACGATCGTTTGGGTACCATCTAGAAACTTCACAGCCTCAACGATGCGTTTGTGTGTGATGTGTTGGAATTGGATTTTGGTCGCAAAAGATGACATTCACTCATCGGTATCTTTCATTTGCTTTAAATCCATTGAAGGATAGTGACACGTCAATACTGGATGGAATGACACGAGAATGAATTGAATGTTAATATTAAGAGAACAGTGATCGGCTCTAACTAAGTTTTCATTGAAGTTTCTGCGTGAAATGGCCAGTTGCTGGACGAGTATCGTGCAGAAGGAGTGCGGTTTATTCGAACGTGATGCAGCAATCGTATCGCCTTTGAGTGTGCAATACTCATCACGACCAAAGTCGCCGTTTGTTCAGCCACATTCGATTTGGATTGATGTTTGTTATTTTATATCAAATAATATTTTTTTATAATCCTATAAATACATTTTATCTAGTTCAATTCGACATAAATTTTGAGCAGTGATAATTCATGGAAGTTCAGTGAGCAGATGTCGAAATTTCACATTATTTTCAGCTGACCATGGCGTTCTTATTTCTGGAAAATTGTTAACAACTGAATTTTCAAACATAACAAAAAAGTATAAATGTCATCAGGAAACTTATGAGCTAAAAAAAATGATTTGGCGATATAGACAGACTTAGGCTCACAATAAAAATAAGTTTGAAGAGCTGATTGAAGGACAGTGTGTATCATTCAGTTTCTTTGTGAACGTGTCGGTGTAGCGAAGTATTCGAACCGTGAGCAGTTGGACATTCTCGAGATGATGTTCGTTCAGTCGTTGTCCTTATGGGTTGGACAACAAACAGCTGCACTGAGCATCGCAGTCTCCTCTCCGACCACCCTTCTGCAACAACCGAGTTTGATCGGTAGTAACGGTAATAAAACATTTTGAGAAACACTTAGAGAATTTTCTCTTTTGCTTTTTCTGTGTTTTTTTGCATTTTTCTTCTTTTAATAGGCAAAAAGAGTTTTTGAAGAGTTTTCCGAAAAGTATTCATTGTATTCATTCAACAGACAAAATCGTTCTGAAAAGTATTCATTCACTGAACAGCTATTCATGAACAAATATTGAATGAACTACGGTTTTATGAGTCGCGTTCATTTATTCTACGATTGTGGATGATTGAGTGTTTTTCTTATTTTTTAAGAAGAATTATCATTATTTTTAAGGTGCGGTGCGTTCTGCTGATATTTTGAGTGTTGCTGTAAATGTTACGATTTCAGCATCGATGATGTCACGTAGCGTTGAAGCAGTCGGTGTTCGCTTTCGTTTGCTCACTTGTGTGCTGTCGATGATTCAGGGCGATTCGCTGTCGAGTCGTCTCTCGAAGAATGTGTTACGACAACGTGTCTATGCCGCAGCACTGGACTACTTCACGTGAGATGTCTTTTCATTTATTCCGTTTCGCTGTAATTTATCGCTAATGATCAGCGATCGCATCGCATTGAACGACTTGTAATCTGAAGATGGATGGAAATGTCTCAAATGAAATGAGCTGAACGATTTGATTTTGTGTATCGACTCAATGAAATCTATGTAATTCATTATTTATAAAACTGTTTACCCATATATGGTAAGGTTAATGTTTAACGTACTTGAAGAGTGGCGCCTCAAACACCCACTCAGAATGCGACGCAGCTGCGTAATGATATACGATTGTTGATCGCATTCTGGAACACATTATACGCGGATGTGAAATACATTAAAAAAGAAATGTTCGCAAGTGTTGGTGGGTTTGTATTTTGTTCACTTCTGATCGTTATTATTAGAAAGATCACTCCTCTTCGCCTTTCTTCTTATTCTGCAAATTTGTGTTCTTTGAGAAACAGTAATAATGACAACTTTTGAATCGACTGCAATACCATGGGCAATACAATAATATTAAACGAATCGAAGACTATTTAAAAGCTAATGTTACCTAAATCTTGTTTGTTACCTAAATATTTGTGATATAAATCTTGTTTCGTAGTACTGAGACTCTTCGCACTCGATATCGAGTATTACTTGTAAAGAATACAATATGAATTCGTGCTTATCGCTCTCATAAAATGATAAGTAGTTCATTTAAGCAGTCTAGTTGTTGTGCTGTTATGTTGCCACTTTCAGAAGTTGACCCTAAAATGCTCTCTACACAACAAATTCTTGATGATACCTACAAAAGCGATACCACTATGCTAAGCAAGTTGGTGGCTTCATTTTACATTCAAGGAGTTTTTGCTTTTCATTTTTCTTTTCATATTTCAACTGAACGACAGGTCGCAAGGTAATCGCAAGGTAATTTCAACTGAACAGTTTTCGCTGTAGCTCAGATCACAGCGGTGAAAATATAAAGAATTGGTTTTTCGTTCCTTTTCGACTTCATCTTCTGATTCGTCTTGTGATCGATGTGTTCCTTTCAGTCGTGCAGACGCCCAAACATGGCACGCTGCCGCAAGTACATCAATGAATTGGGTGACTGTTGTTGCATCGCAAGGAAAAGCGAGTGCTTTGCAGCGAAGCACTCTGAGTGCTGGTCACTTTCACATTCTTTCGATTATTTGAATTGCATTGAACTTATTGTGTTAGCATATACATCAATCATCGCTGAGATCCGTTTGGCTTGTAGAGACAGAACAGATATTTGATTTGAGTTCATTCGTACAGAAAATGCAAAATTCATCATTTCTGCATTGTGAATTGTTTCATTTTGTGTGTACATGATGAGAAAGGTATATTCTAATAGACAACGTAAAACTGTGATCAGTTCAAGTTTTCTTCAGATCCACGACGGCGTGATCCGCATGGAGAAGTGGAAAAGCAAGTGAAAATATATAATAAACGGAGGAATCTGATTCTTGCATTCACTGTACGTTTTTTTCGTTATTCATTCATTGTTTGTAATCTTTTAAATGTCGAATTCAGTGATACTGAACAACATAATCCATCAAGTATCTTTGGTATCAAGTATTACTTATCGTATAGCAATCAGTATTACGATTGACAAGTAATTTTTATCACTCGAAGCAAAATTTGATTTCAAACAACCAACCAACCAAATGAGGCTTTTTTATTAAGCAAGCAATTTCTTTTCGAAACTTTTCCTCAGCAATCATGGTCATTTTTGTTTTTTTTTTACGTTTCAGCACTCTTTGTTCTTTTTTTTCCATCGAACTTTGTATCATAAAATCTTGTGTTGTCGATTTGAATGAAAGCTGTTCAGTATGAAAATTGCTCAATGTAGAATTGAATTTTTATCAGAGTTTATCCAAGAGAATTGAATTCACTTCTTAGTTTCAAATGAGTTGCTATATTTGGTTTATGAAGGCAAACGAAATCGAACGGCTGAGTGTTTGGTTGAATCCATTATGCGAGAGTATGGAAGAGGGTGAGGCAGTGGTGGATCAGTGGCGTAAGAACACATTTCCGGATCCACGCACCGAGCAACGACTCATGAAAGAGAACGTGAAGTTGGCCTGGGAGATCAGTCCTGAACTGGCTGTCTACATGCCTGAAAGGTGCATCGATACTCGTCATTAGTTACATTGCGTGCATCTGATCAATTTAACAACCAACATGTAAAATCCCTCAGGGTTATCGCCTCATTGCATTGCACTTAACAGTTTTTTAACGACACTGTGCACCATTTAATTTTCGTCGTCTTTCAAACGTGATATGACTGAAATTTCAAATTCCTGACGTAATTTCAATCGATCTCAAACATTAGAATTTCAAATCATTCCGCTCACTGAAGAAATAATTTCTTCTACATTCATTTGTGTATAACTCTTCTTCATCGTTGCACGTAACGTTCGATTGTTAAGATTCCGTACGTGTATGTCTTGTCGCAGCGTTGTACAAGAGCTTGTGACACGTGCCCCAGAATTAGTAAGTCATATACCGGAAGCGTTGCTCTTGTTGATTGCTGACGGTAAAATACTCGAAGAGAGAACCGAGGTGAACGCTGGTCTTCGTTTATTCTTCATTCATTACCTTTTGCCACAACATTTTATTGTCCGGGCATTCTCGTCTTGTTTTTTGAATTCGACTTGCTTATGAAGTTATGAATTTCATCCGTAAACTTTTATGATGCTGAAGAGACATTCAATTTGCTGGCATTCCTCGCGAAAATCCTTCTAACTTATAGTGAATCCAGTTATCTTCTATATAATCTTCCTTCACAGCATCTCATAAATCAAAATTTCATTCGTTACTGATCAGAACAAGGTATTCAGTTCATTTCTTAAGCAGCTCTCTTTGATGAATGTAATTCGTTGATGAACAACGCTCTCTAAAAAGAGCAAAGTGCACGTAATTGCAACTGTAAACGGATGTTGATTGATCGGTGAAGTCACGGCAAAGCAATAGTGCTGTTTGCAGGACGTGAAAAGTTTGAGTCATATTCTCACCTGGGCACCGTGTTCACCAGTGACAGCGTTGTCGTTACTGGGTGCCAGACAGTATCCCACACATCCAGTCACGGTGCAGTATGCTGTACGAGTGCTGAAATCATACCCACCCGATGTTCTCCTCCAATATATACCGCAGCTGGTTCAGGCGATTCGTCATGATACGGTAGCTACTCTTCCTGTTGCTCTCTTCTATTTATTTATTTCGCTTCTTACACTTCATCAGTAAATGCCGCTTTGATACCACTGCTACTATCTAATGAATATCACATTCTTTGTTGTTCGAAGAACGGGACAATAAGTACAAGTGATCTTTTTTATACAGAGCTATAAAAAAGAACGGTGCTTGATCATTTTATAAATAATATAGAGTTAATGTTATATACACATTCACCTGCTTCTTTCAAAGGGTAGCAGGCGATATCCAGTAAGGTATGGATGAAATTGTTTATGCCAAAGTATGAGAAATGGTAGATTGCTTTTCAAATCAGGGGTTTAATGAAGTGAAAATGAATAGCTTCGGATGATAGGCGAATGATAGATAGGTTGATGAGGAGTGATCTGCAGATGGGCTATGTGGCCGAACTGATCGTATGGTTGGCTGGTCATTCACAGTTGCTTGCACATCAGTTGTTGTGGAATATGCAGACAAATCTGTATAAGGACGAGGATTCGAAGGAGAAAGATGTGGACGTTTTTGAACCGCTCACGGATCTCATCAATAAGGTGCGATTCATATTGAATCACTTTAAGGGTATTATTTACCAAAAATTGCCAAGCGATTCGATTCTGAAATGGTGATCTCGAAAGCAACCATTGTGACAGGTTCAGCACACATTAAATTAACTGCTAGAATAATACATCTTGATCGAGAAAAACATAAAATTACGTGCGTTTGCTTCTCTAGGAAAATTTTTAGTCCGCATATTCGGCAAATTTCAAAAGTATTTATTCATTTCTTTATTTTAATAAACCAAACTGAATTTGAAACGTGCTGTTATCAATTTGATTGGTTGATAAGACGAAGTGTAATGAGATGATGTGCAAGTTTCATCAGTCCTTTTATAGATCTTATCACAACTGGAAGGTGCTGCGAAAAAGTTTTACGAAGCCGAATTCACGTCGTTTAAACGTATCACTGACATTTCGGGAACGATCAAGCCGTATCCGAAGGGAGAAGCTCGCAAGAAGGCGTGTCTGAAAGCACTTGCTGAAATACGAATTGATTCAGTCACATATCTGCCGTCCAATCCTGAAGCGATCGTATTGGGTATCGATTATAAGAGCGCAACACCAATGCAAAGGTTACAATAATGTACATATTTCTTTTGTGTGTTTGTGTGTGAAGACGAAGGAAAAATTCTGAAGAAACATTTTATTGGAAAGCATTGATTAGCAAAATGTTATGTCGTATGTCTTATTTCCTCAAAATTGATTCGTGTTCGTCCTTTATGAGTAGTCCATCGACAACTAGAGTAAGATGCGTGCCTGATCTTGCTCATCATATTTTGAGGCTTTTGAATGAATGCGTTATCGTGCTTGACCTGAGTTCTTGAAATGGAAACAATACAAAACCAGTCGTATATGATATAAATTCTTAAGTGCGGCCAAAGCTCCGTTTCTCGCAAAATTCAAAGTTCGTCGCTGTGGAGTACAAGAACTGGAACGTATCGGTATAGCGGCACACGAAGGTGGTCGAGCGTCAGCGGACGCCGATATTCACGTTCTGGCACAGTCCGAGGACAGTCGTGTTTGTTGGCAGTCGGCTATTTTTAAGGTATTAACGGGAGTTGTGCGTTGATTTTGCTGAATAGCGTTGATGAATGATGGATGGAGTGAAGAATGGAAGTGTTTCAGGTTGGAGACGATGTGCGTCAAGACATGCTCGCATTGCAACTTATGCGAATAATGCGTAATATATTCGAGGCAGTTGAACTCGACGTTCGACTGTTCCCGTATCGAGTTGTAGCCACGTCACCGGGCTGTGGTGTCATTGAATGCGTACCGAATTCAAAGTCACGCGATCAACTTGGACGTCAAACTGACTTCGGTAAATGAATACACTCCAATTGCACATCTGGAATTCCAGTTGTTTCATTACAATGAAGTAGTAATATTCTCTGAACTCACGAGAACGTCACATCTACCGATATGGTTGCATTCACTGAATAGGAAGATTAAAACTGATTAGAATTTCATGTGAATGGAAACCAGTGATATATGGATTGGTTTCATTTTGTATTCTAAGAAATGTGAATATTTTCAGGTCTTTACGAGTATTTTCTAACAACGTACGGTGATGAGAATAGTGAGAAACTGCATACGGCTCGTCGTAACTTCATACGGAGTATGGCAGCATATAGTGTTTTCAGCTTTTTGTTGCAAATCAAGGATCGTCACAATGGAAATATTATGATTGACGACAAGGGGCACATTGTACATATTGGTATGATATTGCTATGACACATTACAGCCATACAAGACTCTTGTGCATTTGACTTTAGATGGGTGATAAACAATACGATTCACTTATCAATAATTTGCATAGTCGCATTCTTTCAGAGACTAATTCCCATATAATGCACTTCTTGAGCGATTGATTGTGAGATAATTCCAATTTCGAAAGTAATCGCATACGTTTGTTTGTTCAGATTTCGGATTTATGTTCGAGAGCAGTCCTGGTGGAAATTTGGGTTTTGAACCAGACTTCAAACTATCACAAGAGATGGTCGCTATCATGGGCGGAAAAATGGAGGCACCGAGTTTTCGTTTATTCGCATCGCTTTGTGTTCAAGCTTATCTGGCAGTGCGACCCTATCAAAAGGTTCCGTTTCAGATGCGATAGATGCTCTTTCTTTTTCAATATTTGTTTGCTGAATAATGTCGCTGAATTCTGAGATTTTCTAATGAGCGGTGCTGAATCCTACAATTAGTGTTTGCATTCATTCACTTCGAAGATGATAATACGCCGAAATAAGAAGAGATTCGTTGTTTCAGTCGTTCATAGCACTCGTATCGCTGATGCTCGACACGCGTCTGCCGTGTTTTCGTGGTAAGACCATTCAACAGTTTCGTGAACGTTTTGCACCGCATAGTTCAGAGCGAGACGCTGCTAAATATATGATGCAAATCATTCGGAATTGCTTTTTGAACGTTCGCAGTAAGATGTACGATCAGTTACAGTACATTCAAAATGAAATACCTTACTGATTGGATGCACTCGTTGTGTTTTGTGTCATGACGCATTCAACTTTTGTGTACATATCGCCTGCGAAACCATTTTCTAATGGCTTCACAGCTGCGAAGAATTCTTCGTCAATTATATGAGTCTGCTGATCTGCTTACGATTAGTCATAATAAATTTCTTTTTGACATCAAATGTAGAATTCACATTCTGGTTNTATGTTATTTTGCGTTGAAACAACAGCCAAAAAATATTTTAGTATGCACCGAATTGATCATTCCTCATTGTGAGCACACGAAATGGTTCAGTATCATCCATGTCGTTCTTTCTGTGTGACATTATTATCTGAGGGATGGTTTCGTGCGTCACTTCAGCACTTTTTGGGAATTTATCGAAGAAAAACATTCCGCCTAGCCTGGTTTGAAAGAGAGAACGGAAGTTGACATAAGAAAACGCCTACGAAGTTGCAGAGCGCAGTGTCGAAGTTATGAGCTACTTTTAGACGAGGTGTAGGGGAGGGGAATCTGAGGTTGCCGACTATCGCTTGCGTGTGTGGAAGTGCATGCAAATATACTTTTGCAAAGAGGAATGACTTTTATGTGCCATTTAGATTATACAGTGCAGTCCTGATGTAGTCAACGAGTTTATTTATTCATGAATATTTTGCCAACTTATTCATTGTTTGCCAACTTGTTATTTGATCGTTGTTGGATGCTAAAAATTGTTCGTAATTTATTCTGATTCTCGTGTGATTTTAATCTTTCCGTAATACTTAATAAACTATTGTATGTTCCGTTTCGTTTTGCATTCACATTCACCCGTTTTCCTCATCACGTTTTCACTTTAATATTGAACTGGCAACTTGAAATGTTTTTTGTTATATTCTCGAGGAATGAATGAATTTATTCGCTTAACCCAAAAAAACCTTATGAAAATAAGAAACAAATGACGATGATTCATAGTGAATAGCATGGGATAAACTACTGAAATAGTGAAGTATTAAATGGCATAACAAGTATATGGTGATGAAAGTCTTACAAATAAGTGAAACAAAAGAGCAAATCGATCGCATGGATTGTTTGATTTGATTAGCAATCAATTTATTTGCGTGCATGAGATGAGAATGCTGCAAATACAATAAATTCTTATGTACATTTTCAGAGAGGATTTCTATAATAAATGTGGATTGGTTTATTATTGGAATTGCTGCAGTTATTATTGTTGTTAGTACGAGGATGACGATTGATTTATTCATTGTCAGCAAATTCGCGTGGAAATTGAAGATTTTTGATAAAGATCAGAAGACTGGTAAAAATGCATTCAAATTAACAACTGGCATTTAATTGTTCACCCGATGAGAACCACCGCAAAAACCAAAGCTCTTTCGTGCCTTTCGCCTTTATTGCAACTGTCAGCGAGCGATCTCACTTCGCTGAAAATAGAGTACGTTAAGGGCGTTGATCAAAGGAAATCAATCCATTTGTTGGTAATAAAAGCGGTCATCTCAAAAATGGATCGAGCAAGTATCATGCATGCATCTATCCGTCCGTAAAGTATAATATTTTCGCCTGATTGCCGTTCGTTCTTTTTATTTCGAACCAGATACATTAATTCGGGTGAAAGAGATAATTATGCCTTCAAGTGTTTAAGCCTTTATCCGATCTGTCCACACTTTATTCCACTACTTACGCTTCTTTACTCTAGGTAATCAGTCACGTTTGCCCGAACAATATTACCCGGAAATGTTGTCGCAATACCCGGAATATTACCCGTAGAAGAGTCTCTCGAAGAAGAAAGAAATAATGTCGCCAAAAATGCGACGACCGGTGTATATTCGAGGAATGAATGAAGTAGTGCAAGAAGCAAAATTTGAATAGAAATCATACCAAGCGGTTGTTTGCTTAATTCTATCAATAGGTGTAAAAGAGTGGTCGTGTTGGTTCTATGTCAAGAGGATTCTCTTCGATTTCTGTGTCCGGCACCAACAATTCCTCCTCTCTTACTTCCGGTTCCATTGCTTGTTCTGAACTGATCGATTTGTGATCAATTTTATGACACATCAAATAGTTCTTCATCAACAACTGCTCTTTTAATCTATATCTGATCTCTATTCAAGATTATTCCATCTAGACAAATATCATGCATTTTTATGTGTGCTTCTTCAACTGGATTTATCGTCCATCTTTTCATGAAGGGCACAATCCCTCCCGACCGCCCTTTTTGCATACCTGTGTTTGCAATTGATGGTATCGTCTCTGTCGCTGCCGTGTTTTCTGGTTCAGGCGTTTTTGCTTCAACCGGATCCGTACTGCCGGCCAGCTGCGGCTGATCGATCTCTGTTCCGGATATGTCATCTGATCCCATTGTACTCTCGGGAACTGTCTGTAATGGAGGAACCCTCAGTTGAATCTACTGGCATTGTATTTTTTTCGATATATTGTGAATTTTCTGAACAATTCTCATTAATCATCACTATCAGCACTAAGCAATATACCTGAGTGGTGGTTGTGGGAGCGATTGCGGTGATGTCTTGGAAAATTGGACGGAATGCTTTGCTCATCTTGACCGCTTCATTCTGGAAAAATCTGAAAATTATTTCACATTACAATGTGGCATTGATTGTCACGAGTCGCTTTTCAGGTAGGCACATACATAATGAACCGACGACTCTGAAATCATGGGTACCATCCCATTATTGGCGCATAAAACGATGATAGTTGTATGCGGTCATGAGAAATTAGGCAGTTGATGCCGTTTATTGCGTGAGACTTTCTGCGGAGACTTTAACAAGACGTTTCGTTATACTGAATCAACACAATTGAACTTTTGGATTAGATAGCAGTAATCGAATTGGTTACTTGAAGAAAGCAGCCAACGAATCAGGTCTGGACGTTATCAAGAGTTGTTCAGGATCAGACTGAATTGTGGTCGTATCGTCAACGAGTGGAGAAGGTGTTGCTTCTTGTTGTTGTTGCTCTGTGCCCATTTGTTGATCAGGCTCAGAAACTGTTGATCGATGTGGGAAGGTGTCAGCGATCATTATCACTGGTGTATCCGTTGCTGGAGCATCAGAAGGTATCGCTTGTTGAGTGGTCTGTAAATTAAGAAGTCGAGAATTTATTTGTGCAATGTTTCACAGTTAGTGAGTCGCAGTTTGAATTAATCAGAAGCGAACCCGTTGAATGTCAGCGGAAAATCTGGCAGCCGCCTCTCGAGCGTCAGCCTCACGTCCGAGTTCGATTGATTTTTGCTGCAGCTCACGGAATATCTCGTCGTGCGTCTTTTGATTTTCTACCACTGCATTCTGTGGTGCATTTTCGTCATCTGGCTGCAACACCACATTGTGAGAATAATGCGCTTTTGTACTAATCACGCATTACGCACTAACTTTTTGTACTTATTACATGGAATAGTTCAAATTTGATACAATCGGTAAGTATGATAGCTGACGGAAAATGTGCAAATATCACGATCGAAAGGACGATAGCACTCTACAGTAAGCGAGGAGACACATTAACTCTTCCGAATCAACTCTGATGTATGCACGACCCAATTTCAATACATTCATTCTCTTATCTTTTTTGTGGAACTAAATTTTGAACTAAAGATCGTTATGCAACACCGCTGAATTTGAACTTTTTTTCTTTCGAAAAAAATTTTCTTCTTGTTGAACAAAAAAAAAATTCTTAGATGAAACGACGAAAATGGCTTTCTTCGCGGATGTATTTATTATACCTGTGGTGGTTGAATGTTGTCGTTTGCCTGCAAGTCGTGCATCTTCCATGAGATATCATCGTGATCCTCTGTATTCAACGCCGCACTTGCTTGTTCAGCTTGCTGCTCTTGGCGTGTACTTTCCATCTAGGTGATCGTTTTGATTTTATTATCGTCGTAACAACATTTCGTATATAAAAAACTGATTCTCATTTTTGCTTCTTCGTATGATTTTGAAACCAAATGAAACAATTTCCACGACACAACGGCCGAGCAAACGTCTCCAGAAAGCTTGTTGTTCATCGCTACAGTTTTGTTTGATGAATCAATGAGTACACTTTTATAGCCGATAATATTTCTGAAAAACTTGGTCGTTGATCACCAGTCTTCGTGGCTATTCGAAAATAACGAATACCTGCGATTGGGCAAGTAATCTTCGGAAGATTGCATCACGATCCACTTTGAGTTCGGCTTGCATTGCCGATAGAATTTGATCTGCCGACGCATCGTGAGGACTGACAATCGGTAATTCAGGTGTCTTAAGAAATAATGAATGATATCAACTCGGTTCAGCACAATTTTAGGTTCGGAAGAGATTTTTGCTTCATCTCAATTAGATTTTCGTTCAATACCGTACAGAATCAGAACTTTTTGCCCAAACATTTGTTCTCGAATAATCATTAACTTTGATCATCAAGATGCATCGTATAGCTTTTTGATTCATGTTGTTGAAAACCTTTTTTGTGATGTCATGTTTTAAAGTGTATTTATAGAAATTGCTCTGTTGCTTTCTCAAATTAATCCGAAACAACCTTATTGTGTTCCTCAAATAAACTTATTCATTGGCTCTTCCTCATGTTGCTTCGTTGATGAATATTCACCGACATTACAAGAGATAATTGATAACGATCAAAAACATAATTTTAACCTCTGGCATAACTGGCTGTTCAGATGGTGCAACTACTTCTTGTTGAGGAATCACTGCAGTTCTTAAACAAAGAAATTCTATATTCACGGCACATTCAAAACAACTGGTATAATGAATCACTGTTGTATAGTGAGAATCTTCTATGCTCTTCTCATGATCAGTGATCAGTTCTAACAGTATGTTCGACAACGGTAGTGTTTATAATAAAAGGTAATTTGGATAGAATTTGATTTTTTTCGACGAAAAACATCACAACGGATGAATTTACTTCATTATCCGATAACAGTATAGTAAAAGAATTGAACTTATAGCTAACAGTGCATCCCAGTGATAGTCACTGAAAAAGGCAGCTACTGAAAATCGCACTGAAAGAACGCTTAAATTGTGCGATTGATCACGCGATATTATCATCGGCCGCATGCTTAATCCATTTTAAAATCGTACTATATGTGCAAATTCTGTCTATGTCATGATTCTTAAGTTTCCATCGAATATCATAACGAAGTTACCCTTCTGGCTCAACTTGTTGATCTGGCGATTTTTCAGCAGTCTCATTATCTTTATGCAACTCATCGTTTTTCAATAACGATGGCGATGTCACTTCAGCATTATCCATTTCATTGGATGCCTGAAATATCAATGCAAAGAACTTATCTATTTATTAAACAACTTATCTATTAAGATCCTGAAATATCAACTCGTTCATGTGCTGACTTTAATATAAAAAGACATCTATTCCATAAAATACATTCTGCTGTGAAATGTACAATCTTCATATTTCTTAATTCCCATCTGAATGACTTCATTCGTATCCTTTACTAAATAGTTAATATGTTTATGGCACAATTGCGGTGGACTGCTTTCAAGGTGATTATCGTTTAAGAATAAGTGAACGTCTCCGTACTTTATGCACTTACAGCATATTACGTCTTATGAAGGAGTTGTGAAAAATCTATGGCAGTGAACTGTGTTTTGTTGCTTTATGCGAAAGAAATGGCGAGTAGAATGATGGATGAGAAGTGGCAAGCAATTGAGATTGGTGCTGATAAAAACCTGTTTTGGTGATTGAGGGAATATCATGTGATAGATGGTTGGGTAGATGGGCATTCTTCCGACGGGATTCATAGGCATAGGCATATTCATCATCTGCATCGGGGGCATTCGAGGCATCATCATACGACTGCGCATGGCCATCATTCGTGCCATCATCTCTTGACGCATCATCGCAGTTCGTTGCTGTTGCTGTTGTTGCTGTAGCTGTTCTTGTTGCTGTTCCTGTTGCTGTTGTTGTTGCTGTTGCTGTTGTTGCTGTAGCTGTTCTTGTTGCTGTTGTTGTTGCTGTTGCTGTTGTTGCTGTTCCATTCGACGCATCACCTCCTCGTTATTCGCCATCATTCTTTCTTCAAAGCGTACACATTCATCAATTCTGTCACCATTCAGCGAACTTGATCAATCAAACTAGCTTGAGGCTGTTCCCACAACAAAACTTATCATCATCTCTCAATTAGCAAAGCAATTTGAACGGAACTGAATTGCCAAATGGGGTACTGTAATACAATGTCATGTGCAAAACAATTTCCGTGACGTTCTGTGTGCGAAGGTGTTCGTTCTGTTGTATTGAAAACCGATGAAATCAAACAGAACAATTCACTTCGCTGAAACACTCTTTTCAAGTTGATGTCTAAATGAATAAACTCATAGTTTGCAAATTTTTCAAAAGAAAAATCCCAACGAGTAAATTTGGTTTCACTCGCTACTATAATAGTTTTAAGGAATTGAACCCTTTCGAAGTATACTTTTTGGGTTATATCTATCCGATGGGATCGATCAGTAGTCCAAAGAATTAATAAGTTTGAATTGAATGAAATATTCACCCGTCTGTAAACGCATCAAAAGATGTCGTCTATAGACTTCGCGTTCCATTTGCCACTGCATCACGGCTCGATGATATCTATTGAAAACAATTCACATGTTTTTTATCATCAATTGAGTGAAAGCAATTGAGTTGAATGGTACTGTTGAATTTGACATAGTGAATGATTATTCGTTAAAGAACATTGATTTTTGATGTCCAGTGACAACAACTCACTTGGCTAATTGTCGTTGATATTCTGCGGAGACGGCAGGTGGCGGAACTGCTACCTGAGGTGAAGCTCTTTCAGGAGAGGGCATTTGTGGATGGGGCAGTTGCGGAGGAGGCATCTGGGGAGGGCCCATTTGAGGACCGAGCATCTGCGGACGGGGCATCTGGGGAGGGGGCATTTGAGGGGATAGCATCTGAGGAGGGGGCATCTGGGGCGGGG